AGGGTGGTCCGTTGGGGCAATAGTGGTAGTGGTATGGCAGTGAGACACTGATTAATGTAATTTGCTTACAAATTTTGGTAAAGCAAGCATTTTTTAAACCAGTTACATCCTTAATAGAAGCCAGAACTTAGCCTAAAACCAGAGGTTTCACTCTTCTAACTCGTGGGCTTCATAACAGGCAGGTAAAAATAACTAGGCTAGTTCTAGAAACTGTTAAATGTTGTAGGAACCATTTCGGGGTGGTGATGTTTTTCTTTTTTAAGAATGCAATGCACTAAAACTCTTTTAAGAATGTAGTTAATACTGCTTATTCATGAAAACAGCATATACCTGTGTTTAGATGTAAGATCCCAGCTCTGGCTTTCTTTCTTTCTTTTTTTTTTTTTTAAGTCAGTTTTATTTTATGAATAAGTTCTGACATTTGTAATAAATGTCTTGAGAGTAATAATTTGTTTAATGGCTACATGTTCATTACTTGAGGAACCTTGAGTGTATAATAATCTGTTGGTGTTGTAATAATGCACAGTGTCACAATTCAGCCATTTCCTTTTTGTCTTCACTTTTTTTTAAAAAAAAAATTCCTTTGGTGGGGTACTTTGTTGACAGCTGCCTTAAGCTGTTCATTCAGTGAACAGGCTCTCAGTGTTTCATGGGCTTTGTCTTCTGCTGCGGTTAACTTTCCTTCATGGCATGACAGGTAGGGCTTTTTAAACACATATTCTTCGGTTCAGTCAAGCCGATGGCTCGAGCGACTGGTCAAACAATCAATTAAGAGCCAAGAGCTCCGAGTGTGCAAAGCTCAGACTGGACAGACCCTTCCTTTGGTGTCAAATCTGACTGCTGTAAATCCTTCAACCCTAATCAGCGTTGCTGCTGAAGACTCTCCTTTGAACATCGTAGACGGTTGAAAAGCGAGCGGTAAATGCACACCGCCAGCGCACGCGAGTGCACACCCCCCGCCCCCCACACCTCCCCCAAAAGAATCAAAACTCAAGAAAGCCTTACATTTGCTGGCGGAGGAATACCTAGAACTATTTTTTTTTTTTTTTTTAATCGTGTGACTTTTGGATAGCGTTGAAGGTGAAGGATGTGTTCTTTTCAGGCCTGCTGTGGTCAGCCAGAAGAACGATCAACCTTTTGTACTCTCATGAACTAAAGGGGACTCGGAAACGCAGCGTGATGGTGGACGTGGGTGTAACCACACAGCTGCCCCTGTAGCGTAGTTTGCCGAAGCTGATTCAATCGAATGTCAGTCTGCGTGATTTAAATTTTCCAGCGCTATGTGGTCAAAATTAATCTAGTCCTTGAAAGCTGATGCTATTCACCTAGAGGATGATGCTCCAGTACTGTAGGGATGCCCAGGTCATGGATACGTGCTGTTGAAGTTTTGAGGCTCCGGGGAGGGAGGAATCTCCTTCCTTGGGTGGAGCTGCCCGCCTGGCAGCTTCTGCCTCTACAGAAGTGCCAACACGGCGAGGTAAAAACAGTATTACGAAACCACTACGTATACCAACATCGAACTCTTCAAACAGTGCTTTTGTAAGCAAAGAAGAAAATAAAAGCTCCTAGGTTTAGTTTTAAGCTTTAATAAGTAATAATTTTCTGTATCTTTAAGTCAAAGTAACCCTAACTTGTATGACTGCAGTGTTTTTATTTTTTATCTTATGCACATGTTATGTTGGAGAAAATGTTTACAAAAATGGTTTTGTTACACTAATGTGCATCACATATTTATGGTTTATTTGAAAGTGATTTTTGTGGGTTTTTAAGTTTTTTGTAGTAGTAGTACACTTTTTGTGATTTATAACCCCAAACTCTGCTGATTATAAAGATGCTAAACAATAATACAAAATGACAAACTGCATTAAAATTACTAATCGTAGAGCTGCAAAGCAGACTGGTGACAAGTAAAACACTCAGCCTTTTTTTTGCAGTGCTATCTAACTTGTCTTCTGTGTATTATGGAAATTACTGTTTTTTCCCCGTTTTTCCTTAAATAAAGTCAAATTGACACCTATCACGTGGAAAGTATTTTGAATATCTAATGGCTGCAGAAATTAAGCTGCATGTTGCCTACTTGCATGTGTTCGTAAGAACAAAAGCACCTTATTGTCAAATCTCCTAATTTTAGAGACTTTGACAATAAACGTGGGCTTTTGAGGGCTTTTCTGTTGTTGTTGTTCTTCCCCCCCCCCCCCTTCCTCCCCCCCCCCCCAATTAAGCCCTATATCCTGATGCAGTTTCTCTTTTAAGAATTACATTTTTCCTTTTAAAGAAAAGAAGCAAAAAGCTTAGAAACATCAGCGAGTGCCCAGCAGTTTGGAAAGAAGTTGCACCAAGTTGAGCCTGGGCGCATTGTGAACGTGCCCTCCCGCCACGCCGCTTTTGGGCACGTGATTTTTGCGAGCTGGCATTACTTAGTGCCAAGAGAGCGCGACGGACGGGAATCCTGAGCCAGGTTCTCACACGGCATAAAAGCACGGCTCCAAAAAACTCGAGGCCTTCCGACTCGTAAGCCGTGAGCACTGAGCAGGTTTGGTGCAAAGCCACTGTTTGTGCCCCCGGGGCGGTTCTTGGCCTTTGCACATGTTTTTCCACCACGGGCTGTGTCTGGTTTTCTGAAGTGGAGATAAGCAGTAGACGTTTCCTTCCGACTAGGCTGGTCTCTGCGAGAGGAGGAGGAAATCTGTGTTCCCAGGTTCCTGCCTTTCATCCTTTCATCTGCAGAAGGCAGGGGATGTGGTGTAAGTTGAAAAATGTTTCAGAGTTTCACTTGCTTCCTACAGACAAAAGTATCTGAGATCCTTGAGCCCCACAGCTTTTCCGCTTCTGCAAGTGCCAGATACCAAGAGCAACTGAGCTGAAAGCTGCTGGTCAGGCTCCTGCTGGCTCTGCTCCAGTTGCTGCTCCGGAGCTGCTGATTGAATTTTTTCAGTCGTTCTCGACCTGTTGATGACTTCCGTCAGTTAAACGTACTTAGCACAGTCGAGCACCTCAGCTAGCCATGAGGACAGACAGCAGCTGTGGCTTGTTACAGGCAAAATCATGTGGTAACTGGAGGCAGCAACCCCGGGGGGAGCCTGTGGTGTGAGCTTCGCGGTGGGTGCCGGCAGAGGCAATAGAACATGCAAAAATGTCACGCTCCTGTGAAGAAACACACAATTGCAATGATATGCATAAGGAAATAAAAAACTAGAGCATTGGAAACTGAGCAGCAGATCTCGTTCCTCTATGGGACTCACCACTAGCAGTGGTGAGACGGGCCCACATTTGTACCTCGTGAGGGGAGGAGGGATGTGTGCAGGACAGGAGAGAACAAATAGCGCAGCAAAAGAACACAGGTCTTCAAAATTAACAACTGCAGTAGTCAAACCAGAGAAAGAAGTGATCAAACATCAAAAGGAACATTTAAAACAATTTTTCTACAAAGCTTTTAAATATGCCAGTTAAATATTAGTAATGAAAAGTGCGGAACACTTACCCACAAGATTAAAGTTAAAAAACCTGCAAATTAGAAAAGATACAAGAGCAATCCCTCCTTTTCAGGGGGTTGCTTTGCTGAAACATGCATGTTAGAGCATTAGGATTGGATAGGACCTTATATGAAAGGGGCAAAGTCTAGTTTTGTGGACTGCTGCCTCTTGTGCAGAGAGCTTGTTAATTCTTCTGCTTGTATCTATACCATGGTCTGGGAAGAAGACTGTAATACTGCTAAAAAGAGACTGAAGTTGTTGGAGAAACAATTTCAAATGCAAGAAAAGAGCCTATGGCGGAGAGGGGACCTGGCACCCTGAATGCAATGCAGGACTCTGCTGAGTCAGAATGGTTCAAGGCAACACATCTGCTACTAGTAATGCGAATGCATTTCCACCTCAGTGTCCAGTGCCCTCTTACCTACCTGTGAGCTCCAGCATCTCAGCCCAAATTTGTTTCTCTCTTCTTCCAACATCACTGAAGAAATATCAGCACTGAGTTGTGCCATGTTGCTTGTGCAGTGTTCCATAAGCAATCATCGTAGCCAGTGTGTTGTACTTGCTGCTGGCTTTTACTTTCCCTTAAAATCCCAAGCAGGAAAGTAGGGAAGCAATCCTGGGAACTTCACTGTGCAAAGTCATGTTTTGCCGCGTGAGGAGCGTACCTTGCGGCCAGGATTTCAGCTGCACGTGAGGGGTGTCCCTTCCCTGCCCGGCT